TGACCCATGTGATGTCATTGGCATTCAGATTTTCCTTATCTGTATATTTACATTGCTCATTTTGCAATCATTTGAAATAATTACCTCCACATTTTTTCCTCTGTAGTGCAGGCCAACACTTTCCCCCAATGTTGTACTCTGTCAAGAGATTCTTTTTTCCTAGGTGCATTATTTTACATTTAGAAACATTGATCTGCAGTTTCCATTGCTTTGACCAGTCTTCCAGCAATGCCAACCATGTTCCATGTTACAGACACCTCTAGGGATATTAACCCTATTAAACATCATTGTGTCATCGGCAAAAAAAATACCTTGCTCAACAACCCTTTAGTTACCGTATATTATGTACATAGAGAGTAAATAGAACAGGACCTAGTACAGAGCCTTGTGGTACACTACTAATGACTGGTTTCTGTTTCCGAATTAACCCCATTTACAACCACATTCTGGAATCTATCCTTTAGCCAACTACATATCCAATGACCCACCCGAGGGCTAGCTTGTATAACTTTTATATTAGATTACTATGTTAAACTGTATCAAATGCCTCACTGAAATGAAGATATGACATGTCCACAGAACCACCCTGGTCCAAAACATTGGTAAAATAGTCCATAAATTCAGATTAGTCTGACATGATCAGCCCTCAGTAAAGCCATGCTGATTTGGATCCAGCAAATTGTTTGTTTTTAAGTGATCAATGTCCTTCTTTTCAGGAGTGATTCCATTAACTTGACTATGTGAAACTTTTAATTTAAACCAGTTTCTACCCTTCTTGTGAATAGGTACAATCAGGGCTTTTTTTCAGTGGGAACATGGGGGAACGCAGTTTGTCCACCTCCAGCACTAAATGGGGTGCTGGGGATTTGCTTGGGTGGGGGGGGGGATTATTTGCAGCTGGGAAGGTTTATTGTTGCTGGTGGGGGGTCTATGTTTGCTGGGGGCATCTTATGTTGCTAGGGGTCAATTGTTGATGTGAAAGATTTACTGCTGAGGGAGGGGTCTATTGTTGCTGGCTTCTAGGGGGTTTACTGATGCTGGCTGTTGGAAGATCTACTGTATTGTTACTGGTGGGCGTTATTGTTATTGGAAGAACTATTGTTATTGACAGGGATCTATTTTTGCTGGTTGGAATCTATTGTTTCTCAGCTGATCTATTGTTGCCTGGGGTCCATTGTTGCTGGGGGGATCTTATGTTGCTTGGGGTCAACTGTTGCTGGGAGGAAATTACTATTGCTGGGGGGGATCTATTGCTGTTGGCTACAGGGGATTGTGCTCAGAGGTGGATAGCGGACAGAGAGAAGGTGTGACTTGGAAAGGGGAGTTCCTGTACCTATTCTCTGAGAAAAAAAGCCCTGGGTACAATATTAGCTGTCAGCCAATCAAGGGGAGCTTCTCCTGTTAGAAGAGATTGATTAAAAAGATCTGTTGGTACAAAAACTGTATCTCGAAGTTCTCCTAGAACTCTGGGATGAACACTGTCGGGGCCCATTGCTTTATTAAGACTTAACTGAGCCAGTTCCTCTGCTACCTCTGTCTCTAGAAATCCCAAAAATGAACCACAAGGTCATGCTTCTTAGGCAGCCCATTCATCAATCATGACCCTATTACCCCATCCACACATTTGGGCTGAGCCTTTGTATTTCAACAGTTGGGGAGACATCCCTGCCATCAGAAAACACTGTCAGCACTACTGACTGATCAAGCGGAAATGTTTCAACAGATTGGCTACACAGAGGTCGATTGGTAGATCGACTTTTGTGCAACCAGCCTGCCCATACACAGATCAAAATGTGGCAAGTTCCCTGCTGAACCAGCTGAATTTCAATCCATGTATGGCCAGCTTTACACCAGCACCCAATAGATTTTCCAGTGGCAGAGACTTGGAGTGGTGACCCCTGTGAGACTCACCGGCAATCTGATTGGCTGCTGTGGTTTACTTGTCAATGTAGTTTTGTGCAATATACCGGGCTCATGTATTTAAAAAAAACTGTAAGAAAACTGTATGCATTGCATATAGAAACCCAATTCCACTTTGTGAGCATTCGTAAATAATCACAGCAGAATCTGCAAATCATACTTACACATATTTAAATGCAGTCCATGAAGAAATATTTGGTGGATGTTATTCAGTTGTGAGATACTGATAAAAACTTCAAATAAAAACATGATTGCTTCTGTTTAGTAAAGCTGGTTTGTAGTGCAGGTCTTTCACATAGTATGAAAGGTTATGTTCTTTCATATTCATTTTGGCTTATTATCCCTCAAATTGGACTGTCAGCCAGTCAGAGGTTTCTGAATCAAATGCAAAGAACCTAAAATTGGATTTTGCCCACAGACAACTCTTCTTGTTTAAGATAAGGAAATATCTTTTTTTTTTCTGATTGCGTATAGAGAGAAAGGAGAAAAATGTTCTGTCTTTTTTTTGTTGATGCAGTGCAAAGAAAAAACTCAGCTTGTTCCCTTTTATAGCTTACATTTACTAAGCCACACCACATATAAAAGAGATCACACAGGAAAACACAGCAAATCCTATTATATATTTGATGATATGGAAATAAATGAAAGTCAAAAGAGTCTGCTTCACAGTGCATTATCTTAAATGATTATTTTTTTTTTGTTCAGCCAAGGCCCCAGGAGATCTGGTATAATGCATGTGGCAGAGGGCAGGCAGCCAGTGCCAAATTATGACACATGCCTCACACATGCTATAGACACAGAGGGCTTGATGAAGGAAAGACTGATATAATTAGCACAGCTCCCATTTGTAATTATTGCTCAACACCCCGTCCCTGTTAGCAATTGATTTATTAAAAATCAGTATTGGAAAAAATATGATGCTGAGTGGTAATTACAGTTCCTTTTGAATGACAGAAGTAGTTTGTGAATGACAGCATGAGTATCTCCCACCATTCCCTACCTTATTCATAAGAATAAACCTGTCTTACATTCATTACATTAAACATCTATGGGATATATTCTTATAGCAGAACTTCACCCAAAAGTTCTGAGTTCCATTTTATGTCCTGCTTCTCCCCTCCACTACTACATTTGCATTTGGCACATTATTTTTTTTTTGTGGGGGTACCTAATTTTGATAGGTATCTTCTCCCACTTAACACCTGCCTGCAGCCTCTTTGGACACGTCACAGGTCCCCGAAAGCTGCGGGACCAGGGGCGGACTGAGCATTCGAGCACTTGGTCACTGCCCGAGGGCCCGGGGTCAGTAGGGGGCCCCATGAAATGCCCCTGGTACCTTTTTTAAAGGCTTTTTTGAGTGTGGGCAAGGACATAGGGGCCCCATGATCCCCTATTGCCCGGGGGCCCCATGAGTTGTCAGTCCGCCCCTGTGGGGGACCATTCAAAAAGCGTAGCATGGTTTGCACATGCACAGTTGGAAGCCAGCTGTGAAGCTGCAAGAAGTCACAGCTGGCTTCCCAAACTAGACATGCCAGTGCCGCGGATCCAAAGACTGATGAAGAACCGCCCCAGGTGAGGATGGCGCTGAATCCTTGGACAGGTAAGTGTCTTTTTATTAAAAGTTAGCAGCTACACTATTTATAGCTGCCAAGTTTAATTAAATTCTTTCTAGGGTGAGGGTCATTTTTAATGCAGAACCTCACCCCAAAAAAACAAATTGTTTGTATTTGGCTCCAACCCCCTCCTTTTCCCACAATAATAATAATTTTTTTATTATTATTTCTTTGTACTTTTTTGTGCTGCTGCAGAGCAGCGCCTCATCCTTTTTCACCTAGACAAGAATGACACTGTGCTGATCCATGTGTGTACAGATATGCTGAAGGTCTCTGGCTGACCCACAGTACCTAGCAAAGACCTCCAGAAGATCTATGCATGCACAGTTTCACCCACACATGCTCAAGGACAGTGCAATTAGGAAGGTTAGACCGAACAAAGTCCTATACCTTCCTAATTGCACTGTGTCCACGCATGTGCATGAGCACGCTCATGCATGCACAGATCTGCTGCAGGTTCCAAGGCCTGTGATGGACTGTCAAAGATTCTGGTGCTAGTAAAGGGGGATGCCAGCAGTGAGGGGACTGAAATATGTCTTTAGAACTGGAGATCAGGCAAACAGTTACATTTACAGATACAACACGTACATGGGGGTCGTTATGCCAAAGAATTTGTAAGTGCGTTCAGAAGCAGAGCCAGCTTGCAAATCTAACTTTTCAACAGTTTTACAAAAAAAGCATACTATGCTGTCCCATATAGGTATATTCCAGCCAGGGTTGTAGCCTCCCTAGCGATCTGATTATGTCAGTATTTCTGTGCTCAAAGCGGTACATTTTTTTTGCATGGAAATATGTATTTTTTTATTGTAGGCCTGTAATTTTTAGGAATAACTCACTGAAATCTGTCCGAACAAGAGTCTAGTAAACATCCCGGGTATGTTAAAATTTGAAACACAAAATCATAAATTATAATTTAATAAATAATCATAAAAATAATAATATAATAATAAATTAATTCAATAATATAATCAAACCAAAAACACTGAAATTTGAAATATAGCGCCAAGTTCGCACATCACTGAGCAAAGTCACAAAATCGTTTTCTGTGTCTGATGACGAATTTCCCCACGAATCATTATCACTCAATTCTGCAAGTGGTTCTGATTTACTATCACTGTTCTCTAGCTGGTCTAAAACCGATTTTGACCTACAGGGACGCTTTTTGGACGCCATGGACGTTTCTCAGTTTTCAGGCAGAAAGAACAGTTAAAATGCAGGCAGGGCACAGGACAAAGCACTAGGGACCAAATGTATGTCAAATGGTTTGATACAGCAATGTTTTACTATGTGATTTTAGTGTATTTAGTGAATGTCACTTTTTCACATTTTTAAATTTCCCGCCGTTCCATCTCCGTACGTCCTGACGTTGCAGGGAAGAGAACCCAGAAGACAGATGCTGGCATCCGCCAGAGGACATTGCCGGGTACACTGCAGGGAGGACATCGCAGGAGCAAAGGACAAGGTAAGTAAAGAAGAGATCCTGGAGCAGCGCTGCAGGGTATTCCTGAGTGTAGCTCGGGGTTACCACTTGTGGTGCTGAAACTTTACCCCGAGCTACACTCGGGAATACCTCCAGGGGGGTTAAACGATGCAGCCAGTGTTGGCTTCGTCCCTTGTTATTGTAGGGACAAAGCGTCTGTTGGAACCAGTGCCCCAGAATGCCACGGGAGGGAGAGCTGCCCTGTTTTTTCTTTTGAACCACGCATGTACTGTACACTTTCTTGCTTTGCAGCCGCTGAGCTCACTATAGACTGTTCTCCAAGCAAACTGAATGTTCACCGTGAAATATGAATATTTACTGAAGTGAGTGTATAGTGTGGATCTGTTTATACAATATACCAATCATGTTCTAGCAAAAATCATGTTTTTTTTCTTTCTTTCACACATGGTTGGGTATGTAAGGTGAATACAGGTTCATGTTATTTATTGAAGAGGAACTGAACTCTGGAAGCTGTGCCCAAAAAAAAGAGCAGGCAAGACTAGTCATCAGGATCATGTGCAATATCGTCTCCCTGCAGCTGATCTTTCCCTTATTACTGATTTACCATGCCTTGTTCTGCAATATGTCTCTCTGTTTAGGCACAGGGTTTAGCTTCCCCATGTCAGAGCATTCAGCATGGAAAACATCGAACATCATGCATTGTAATGAAATCACTGGTTCTCACATGATTAGCAGTCAGTGGCAGCAGTGCCTTAACGTGGGAGTTCACCATAGGAAAACACTATGAATATTAAATAGCCATATTACACATTAGATTGTAAGCTCCAAGGAGCCTCCTAACCTTCTTGTATTGAACTGTATTGTTGCTGTATTGTCTCCCGTTATATTGTAAAGCGCTGAGCAATCTGAAAATTAGAATATTACATGCAATCAATAAAACAAGAATTGTACATAGAACAATATCGGACCTCTAAAAAGTATAAGCATGCATATGTACTCAGTACTTGGTTTGGGTCCCTTTTGCAGCAATTACTGCCTCAATGTGGTGTGGTATGGAAACTATCACTGCTGAGGTGTTATGGAAGACCAGGATGCTTCATTAGCGGCCTTCAGCTCTTCTGCTTTGTTCGGTCTCATGTCTCTCATCTTTCTCTTGGCAATGCCCCATAGATTCTCTATGGGGTTCAGGTCAGGCGAGTTTGCTGGCCAAACAAGAACAGTAATCCCACGGTCATTGAACCAGGTTTTGGTGCTTTTGGCAATGTGGGCAGGTGCCAAGTCCTGCTGGAAAATGAAATTTGCATCCCAATAAAGCTCCTCTGAGGAAGGAAGCATGAAGTGCTCCAAAATCTGGTAGACGGCTGCGTTTGACCCTGGACTTAATGAAGCACAGGGGACCAACACCAGCAGATGACATGGCTCCCCAAATCAACACAGACTGTGGAAACTTCACACTGGACTTCAAGCATCTTGCAGTGTGTGCCTCTCCATTCTTCCTCCATACTCTGGGTCCTTGGTTTTCAAATGAGATGCAAAAGTTACTCTCATCAGAAAAGAGGACTTTGGACCACTGAGCAACAGACCAGGTCTGTTTTTCTTTAGCCCAGGTAAGACGCTTCTGATGTTGTTTGTTGTTCAGGAGCGGCTTGACAAGAGGAATACGACATTTGAAGCCCATGTTCAGGATCCGTCTGTGTGTGGTGGTGTGGCTCTTGATGCACTGACTCCAGCCTCAGTCCACTACTTGTGAAAGTCATTAACACTTTTGAATGGCCTTTTCCTGACAATCCTCTCCAGGCTGCGGTCATCCCTGCTGCTTTTGCACCTTTTTCTTCCACATTTTTCCCTTCCACATAACTTTCTATTATCGTGCTTTGATACAGCACTTTAGGAACATCCAACTTCTTTTGCAATTACCTTTTGAGGCTTCCCTCCTTATGGAGGGTATCAATGATGGTTTTCTGCACAACTGTCAGGTCAGCAGTCTTTTCCATGATTGTGATTCCTACTGAACCAGACTGAGAGACCATTTAAAGGCTCAGGAACCCTTTGCAGGTGTTATGGCTTAATTAGCTGATTAGAGTGGGACACTTTGAGCCTAGAATATTGCACCTTTTCACAATATTCTAATTTTCTGAGATTGCGGATTTGGGGTTTTCATGAGCTGTAAGCCATAATCATCACAATTATGACAAATCACGGCTTGAACTATCTTGCTTTGCATGTAATGAGTCTATCTTATATATTAGTTTTTTCACCTTTTAAGTTGCATTACTGAAATAAATGAACTTTTGCACAATATTCTAATTTTTCGACTTTCACCTGTACAGTATTTGATATTCAGAAAGAGTAAACTTCTACTTTAATGTCACTCTGCAGAAATACTACTGGAGGCACCCTCACAGTCACATACCAGTAAGTGCACTGGCCAAACAAAAGGTACATTTTGCAGAATGCTGCCTAAGCACAATTAACTATTCTAAATGTTTCCTATAATATAGCAAATCTTAATTTTTTTAAATTCAGTTCTACTTTGAAACATCTAACCTTCTCTGAGCATTAGACGTACTGTAAGCTCTGTAAGTAATTTGCAACACAAGTCAGCACAGGAGCTCCTTGCTGTATTACAGCCCTTTTGTGTATATTGTCTATGAATATAGCCAGAGAAGAAAAGGAAGAAAGCAATAGGCATACAGTATAAATAATGCATTCAGCACAGCTTTACTGACTGCAGATCCTGATGGGCAGCTCATTACAATGTTTGTTGTTTATGAATATAATTTCACAGAAGGCAAAGCTGTTAAAAACAGTAGTATGTTACGTTACTGGTTCACACTAGTGCAATTTGTCATGAAATTTGACAGTTTCAAATCGCATGATAAGTAGAACACTATTGCCGGCAATGGAACCATTCAAATCACCATGATTCATGTCACAGCAACTTTGAAAAAGGTTCCACTACTAGTTTTTTGTGACTTGCATTGACTTCAATAAAGTTGCAGCCGCAATGAAATCATAGGTACAAATCGCACTGATCTGCGGCTTTCAAATTGCGCCGAAGTAGCCCAATTTCAAAGCCACACTGGTGTAAACCAGGTCTAAATATCTACTAGTATATAAATGAATATAATGAATCATTTACTAATATCATGCAATAACTACATGTAATACTTATGACCTTATTCAGTTCAAAGTAGAGGTCCAGTCAAATCTTATCCAAGCTTAAACCTACTCCTACACCAATTCTAACCCTATACTAACTACCCTGTAGAGTAAAGATGCTTATACCTACCTATTTCCTGAGTGCTCCAATCTGTTCACATGATTTCCCCAGTGTCAGTGAAAAGGAGAGATCACCGACAAACAGTTGCAATGCCTATGTGATTACCTGACCCATAAACCTGCTATGGGACATCGGTTGTCAGCTATCCCTCTTCTATCCTGAAGCTGGTGCTGGGAGTGGATCCAGCTACTGGACCGGAGTTCCCTGTGAATAGGTAAGTATAAACCTCCCTCCTCTACAGGGTAGTTAGTAGTTAGTTAGGGCTTTGAATAGGGGCGGGAATAGGTTTAAGCTTAGATAGCATTTGACTGAACATCTAGTTTAACCGCTTAAGAACTGCCCTATAGCAGGGTGGCACCTGTGCGCAGAATCACGTATATATATGTGATTCGTGCCGCGCTCTACCTGCACCACCGTTTGCGGCCACGGATGTCAATCAACGGGTCCCTGTAATTACCCACCGGCGCCCGATGATTACCGAGCATCTCTGACGGGGAGGAAGATTGTTTTGCTTACAGTGTTCCTCCCTGTCAGCTCGAGCACACTGCTCCGGATGGCTGTGCACAGTACAGCCATCCTGAGCAGTGTGCTTACAGTGAAGAACACACCCTCCACCACCATAGTCAAATACTCCCAGTACACAGTTAACCCTTTGATAGTCCCTCACATTAACCCCTTCCTGCCCAGTGCCATTAGTAGAGTGTCAGCGCTTTTTTTTGGAACACTTCACACTGTATTGGTGTCACTGGGGTGTCAGTGACACCCCAAGTGTCAGAATGTCCACCGCAGTACTACTAAAAGTCGCTGATCGCCACCATTACTAGTAAAAAAAAATCCCATTACCTATACCACCATTTGTAAACTCTATAGCTTTCACGTAAACCAATTAATTTACATGTACTGGGATTTTTTTTAGCAAAGAAATGTTGCAGAATACATTTTGTCCTAAATTTATGACAAAATTAGATTTTTTAAAATTTTTGTACTGGACATGTTTAATAGCAAACTGTCCAAAATATTGTTTTCTTTTCTCAAAATTGTCTGTCTTTTTTTGCTTATAGCGCAAAAAAAAATACACAGGCAATCAAATACCACCAAAAGAAAAAAAAGGATATAAATTTCATTTGGGTGCAGCATTGCATGACCGCGCAATTGTTAGTTAACGAAGCACCATAGTGCAAAAAATAGCCTGGTCAGGAAGGGGAGTAAATCCTCAGGAGGGCAAGTAGTTAAACCGAATAAGATCATAAGGATTATATGTAGTTATTGCATGATATTAGTAAAATAATTAATTATATTGACTTACATACTAGTAGATATTTAGCTCTGGTTCACGCCATTGTGGCTTTTCAATCACACTTCTTTAACTTCCTTAGCGGTAATCCCGAGTGTAGCTATACCAAGAGCGGTAACCCCGAGCTACACTCGGGCTTACCATGCGGCGTTGCTCAGGGAGTCCCTGCAGCACTTACCTGTCCTTCGCTCTCACGATGTGTCCGCTGCAGCGTCCCCGGCCATCTCCTCTGGCCGATGCCGGCATCCGGCTTCTGTTTTCCGGTCCCTGTGACGTCGGGACGTACGGCGCTGGAACTTTTTAAAAAATTTCATTTTTGCTGTCATTGCTGTTTCAATGCATTTCACATACATTTTGTCCCTAGTACTTTGTCCTGTGCCCTGCCTGCATTTTGAATGTTCTTTCTGCCTGGAAACTTAAAAAAGTCCATGGCGTCCAAAAAGCGTCCCTTTACATCAAAAGCGGTTTTAGAACAGCGATAGTAAATCAGAACCACTTGCAGAATTGAGTGATGATTTGTGGGGAAATTCGTCACTAAAAACGATTTTGCGACTTTGCTCAGCGATGTGCGAATTTGCCTCTGTATTTCAAATTTCAGTGTTTTTGGTTTGATTATATTATTGAATAAAATTTATTATTATTATATTATTATTTTTTATGATTATTTATTAAATTATAATTTATGATTTTGTGTTTAAAATTTTATCCTACCCGGGATGTTTAATAGACTCTTGTTTGGACAGATTTCAGTGAGTTATTCCTAAAAATTACAGCCTACAATAAAAAACTACATATTTCCATGCAAAAAAATGGTATCGCTTTCAGCACAAAAAATCAGAAAGAATCATACTGCCAAGGAGGTTAAGCGCAACACTGGGAAATGTAAAAGCTAGCCTGCGCTGCAAGGGTTAACTGCTTGTTTAGTCTAGAGGAGTGGGGAAGCACCTAAACTTACCTGATCGTTCACTCCCCTTTCAGATGGCACACTCCCACATTCTGTCCCTCGGCATCATCGCCTTCAATGCAGGGCTACAGACTCTTCATTGTTCTTGATGATGTTAGGACCTTAGACCGCCTCAGTGTGCCGCTGCGGGGACCAGTCTAACAGCATAGAGGAGGAAGGATCAGGTAAGTAGTTCTTCTTGTCTATGTGCCCTAGACCTAAACAAGAATATAACCCCTGCAGTGCGGGCTCGGCCCCACTGCAAGGGATAATTTTACATTTCCCAGAGTTAGACTTTAAATTGTTGGTCAACCTAATTAGTATATCACCTTATTTTTTTATAATGGAAAAAGGTTTGACATGATGCGTTAATGCATTTAATGTGTTAAATTGATACTCTTCAAAGAAGAGTTTGAACATGAAAACAAGACTGTAGTTAAATGTTTAACATAAGTATAGTGAATGTCATGTGTAGAGTGCATACTCTATATTGCATCCAGCTATTCACAATGAAAACAGATACAAAGACAGTGTTCAAAGTAAGATTTAAAGTGTATGGAAACCCAAATATTAAAGTTGAGTAAATAGCTCTCTTTTGCTTTGTGAATGTAGTAGTGCAAAATTTTTTATACTGATGTAAGTAAATGTTTCAAGAACATCTGTTGATCCTTCCAGTTCCTGCTCTGTCTTTGGGACCTTTTCTAATAGGGTGAGCACCAGGTCCCACTTTTGCACTATGGGAATCTCCCCATGCTTTCATATCCAGTCTGTTTTGGCTGATGCTGACTGCTCTGACCATTTAGAAGCTGAAACACACACACACAGGGTGCACTACATCAAGTTGATGGCTCCCAATGACACATGGATTCATTATTATTTATTTCAGGTACTTATATAGCACTGTCAATTTATGCAGCGCTTTACATATATATTGTACATTCACATCAGTCCCTGCTCTCAAGGGGTGTACAATCTAAGGTCCCTAACTTACATACACATATTAAAGCCAATTTAGACAGGGTCCAATTACCTACCAGCATGTCTTTGGAGCATGGGAGGAAACCGGAGTGCCCAGAGGAAACCCACGCAGGCACAGGGAAAACATGCAAACTCCTCACAGGTGGTGCCATGGTTGGGATTTGAACCAACGACCCTAGTACTGCCAGGCGGAAGTGCTAACCATTTAGCCACTGTGCTGCCCACATTTTAAAAATCACAAATCACATTCACCAGTCCTGCATGGGATGAGGCATGGACAAAAACAGTTCCAAACAGTAGTATAGGCAATCCACGCAATCCCCGGGAAGTCAAAATTGTGGGAATACTTGGAAAGTCTTGTTTTTTTTAGCCATAAGCTGAGCTGAGACCTGGAAACCTTGTATATGTAACTGCCCTTGTTGCTGGACAGCTTGGTTTGTTGCTCTTAGTGGAAAAACAACATATCTAATGTTGGAATCCATGGGTAATAAATGTTACAGGGGGGAATGGGCAAGGGAGAATGTCACCAGCACACCGTGGATCACCAATATGGGTTCAAAAGTTTTAATTAATGATCACATAATTACAGCAAGGCAACATTTCGGAGTGTCGGAGGACCCTTCATCAGGCATGTGATGATGGGAGGGGAATGGGGACTCAGAAAAATAAACACTGTCACATATATGTAATATTTCTTATCTTGCCTGTTGGTATGTTTTAAATCCCATAAAGATCAAATACTTTATTAGGATATAAAATAAGAGCGCTAAAACTTGGCAAAGGTGCTAACACTTCACTGATCTATCCCCCACAAACACACGCACACACACCCACACACACACAAAATACTTTGGCTTAAGATACACTTAAAACAAAATAAAAGGAAAGTAAAGATTCATATGCAGATTAAGTAAAATATCCCTTTATCTTTATAATGTCTTAAAGATGAATGGCCATATCATTGAATTACCACTATCCAGTCAATATAACTAATCTTAAACTCACTTCACTGAGCCTTTTTTTTTTTATTATTAACACATTGTGCTACGTTACAATTGATCTGGATTTATTTCTATACTGTTGTCTTTGCTTTTGAAGCACCACAAAACATTCTTTGTTTTGCTTATTAATACTGTTCTATAAATCAAAGGTTATGTCCACAAGTTATTTGTGCCTCTCCAATGGGGCACAGGTCAAGTATATTACAAGAAACCTCATTATTGTTAGGATGAGCCATTTCAAAGGATGTCAGACGTTGTTAGTGATGCATTGTTTAAAATAAATGCTTTTCAAAACACATAACCAGCTTCCGATCTCAGTAACTTGGAAATGTTGAAAAAAATACAAGGTCTCCTCCTAATGGTGAACAAACAGAATGCTCATGGTTTTTCAGTACTTGTGTCAATGTACTGTATTCTGGAAATGACATTCACACCACACTCTAGTTTTAAAGTGGCTGTAGCAAACATTTAAGAAATACATGGTTTTTAACATTAGTATTTTAGAGAGTCTTCTATTTCCCCTTTGCAAAGCCATACACTGCTGATGTGTCTGCAAACACAGCAGTAATATGCACAACGCATAACCCCCTAGACCCTGCTTAGTGCTATACAATAGGGATCATTTTAGCAGCAGTATGGTATTTCAACATCTTCATAGAATTATCAACATCATTTTGTGCATACATATACTGTATACAGCTATTTTAACCACTTTCAATCAAAAATTACCTATTGGGTTGATAGGTGATCAAAAGGCACCACATCCCTGTTTAATTTAAAGATAATGGACATACAGATGGGACTTGTAAGGTGCCGACAGAACACGAATAATCAGTTAAAATCACATTATTTATTATTGTTTGTATGTTAAAAATGGACATACATTTAATAATAACTTTTAATAATTACTAATACATTAATTGCAGCAGCATCCAATATTCCAATATTAATTAGAACCTCTAGACAACACCCCTACATTTTGTCACTTCTTTCTAAACATATATATATATATATATATATATATATATATATAATTTTTTTTTTTTTTTTTTTTTTTGCAAGAAGGGGGAGGTGTTTTCCCTTTTAAGAAATTTTGAAATAAGCTTCATCATTAAGAAGAACAAGAACAAAAGCCTCCAAGTCTGGGGGAAAGTACAAGGAACATAACCAGTGGCTATTTATACGTATATGTTGCACCCACACAAAGTATTTATTTTTCTAAAAGTGCAATGTAGAAAAGATGGTCTAGTGCAGCATGTTCTTTTAAAAAACTTTTTTTTTGTTCAGGCCAGGAACTGTTGTGGCCTTAAATTTATAAACGCATTTACATTCAGATTTTAATAATAGATTTTCAAGGCCTCCACCTCTTTTAGGCATTGATGTATGATCCAGGGCCATAAATTTGGCCTTGAAAGGTTCATAACCATGATTCATTGCAAAATTGTGTGCTACTGTAGAGTGTGTGTGTCCTTAATGTCACGAATGTGGTTATAAATGTTTTGTCTTTCCCATGCTTCTGATGTAACATCACATAGATGACAGCCATGGAACAATTAGCAAAATGTTTTGGAGTGAATCATTCTCCATTAGGTAATCTAATCTGGATGAATACAAATATAACTTCATTCATTGCATTTTCCAGATTTTAACCACTTCAATACCACCAGGCACGTTTACCCCCTTCCTGCCTAGGCTAATTTTCCACTTTCAACGCTGTCACACTTTGAACAAATTTTTATCATGTTATTCACACAAATAGGGCTTTTTCTTTTGGTGATATTTAATCACCACTAGATTTTTTGCTAAATAAATAAAAAAAAAAAGCCAATTTTGAAACAAAAAGCGTTTTTTTATCTTTTCTGTTATAAAATTTTGCAAATAAATAACTTTTCTTCATAAATTTAGGTCAAAATGTATTTTGCTACATTTCCTTGGTGAAAATGACCCAAATCAGTGTATATTTAGTCTGTAGGAAAGTTATAGAGTCCACAAACCATGATATATATATATATATATATATATATATATATATATATATATATATATATATATATATAAATCGATCAACCCTGATGTACTGAAAGCCTCATCTCATTTCTTGAGGCACGAAAACTCCAGGATAGTACAAATACCACAGATGATCAGGGTGCCGTGTCGTGGCTCTGTGGCTTACGTATGTATTTGCAAATGTGTGCTAACTAAACCCCTGTTATAAACGCATACTGTTAGATAGGTTAATTCGGTTGTTAGCAAGCTGGCTGGCAAGTTGTCCAAGAACATTGTTCTCTCCCCCTTTTTTTCACTATGTGATGCCTGTTTATGTGTCCTTGCTTCATAAGCCAGTTATAGACTTGGGCGGGTGGCCACTTTTATGCATAGTACAAATATCCCCCAAATGACCAATTTTTGGGAAACTGACAGTTCAAGGTATTTAGTAAGAGGCATTTTAAA